CATTATGTGTGGTTGGACTAACAATTTTATGAATGATTCTACAGATCTATAAATATGATTGAATGAAAATATTAAATGTCTTGTGAAATGTATTATTATAATCTATGCATCAAAAGCTTTTAAATCAATCAATACATTATGTGTGGTTGGACTAACAATTTTATGAATGATTCTACAGATCTATAAATATGATTGAATGAAAATATTAAATGTCTTGTGAAATGTATTATTATAATCTATGCATCAAAAGCTTTTAAATCAATCAATACATTATGTGTGGTTGGACTAACAATTTTGTGAATGATTCTACAAATCTATAAATATGATTGAATGAAAATATTAAATGTCTTGTGAAATGCATTACTATATTCGATACATTAAAAATCAAAAAGTAAATAATTTTGTGTTCCTCAAAGTTTAATTATAATTTCGGTTTGTCATTCATGATTATTAAGTATTAAGTTGTCGTATGTTGAATAAAATTTAATAATATATATAACAATATTATTAATAACGTTGATAATAGTAATAGCAGTGGTGATCGTTCGATAATTCCCTGCGTTTGGGGCTCCAGAAGAAAACAAACAATTACAGAGCGTTAATAGCATGTCACTCTTTAATTAGTTCAAAAGGCAGTCAACGTAATTTGAATTTTGAATGTAGGAACTGTTTGGAAGGTGAGAACTATAATGTTTAATATAATTATACAATTTTATAAATAAAACGAACAGGAATTAAGTTGATGCTACATTTATTATTTGAACATTAGAAATTTTTCAAATGGTTCCTGTAAACGTTAATATTAATGGTAATGTTTTTGTGTGAGTTGAATTACATATTAAACATGTTTATTAATTACTATTAATTACAATTAATACAATGAATACAATTAATTACTATTCCCTACATTAAACTTTAAGTTCCATAACAACCCGCCTAAATGCACTCTAAATATTAAAGAACATAATATTTTGAAGGAAATGTTTACACATTTCATCGACACGCTATTAATCATCCGATACCTCCATGAAATACTATTAATCAAAATATAATTGAACGTCGAAAAGAGAAATGAAAACAATGTAAAAACTCACGGTAGAACTAAAAACGAATAGACAGAAAATCGAAACGAAGTAGAAATCTACAAGATTCACAGGTATTGCAATGGTGGATATTTTCGATACATTTGAAATTAAAAATTTAGTTTCGCCATTGAGAAGTCTGACACGCGCAACAAGTGATAATTCGGATTTCAGATTGCGGGAAACACGCGATGCTAAATTAACGAAAATCCCGGAAGAAACGCGGAAACGAAATGTGAAATGCATTCCATCTCGCTTATCTAACGATAAGAACAGACTCAACAAGTGTTCGATGAATTCGCAAACATAATTGTTTCGCGCAGTTCAGCCAGAACGTACAAATTGACGCGAATGTGCAGATTATGAGATTAAAGAAAGTTCCGCGGGATGAAAACAAAATGTAGATACACGATGTGATATTAATTGATAGCTAATTAGTGAAAACAGGTAGATTAAATATGAAGTGAAAACAAGGGTTGTGTATAATGGATTTTAGAGCCTTAGAGTTGTGCTCTGGAATTACTAGCTGGTTTAATTTCGAAGTTAGATGTGTAGAAATGAAGAAAGAAGCTTAAGCTGGATGGAGAAACAGAGAAAATTTCGTAATAAGTCTCTCAGGTAATTATTCTGTTAGAGGTACATTTTAATTTTAATTATTTGAGGTCAGTGTTTAACTCAGATTTTATAAAGAAACCATTCTTTTGAATTTGAGTGTATAAGGAAAAATTAGTGTGATGTAGGTTTTGTCAAGTTTGAATAATTATATTTTATTGTAACATAAATTCTGCTGTATTAAATTTTTTTTTAGTGTGTCATAAAATATGATACTGTGATATATTGTGTCATAAATTTTTATGTTATTAAATATTATGGTTCAGAGCGTTATAGTAACAAAATATCATAAAATGTTTTTTTATAAAATATCAAATAACATAAAATATAAAATATTTCATGCAATGTATTATAAAATATATCATAAAGTTCATCACGTTAAAATTAAATATTAAATGCATATACATTAAATATTTTAAACCTGAAATATTACAGTAATTTATTATAAAATATAAAAACATCCTATAACACAAAATATTACATCCTAGAAATAAATAAAATATACCATAAAATTCATCACGTTAAAATTAAATATTAAATACATATACATTAAAAATTGTAAACCTGAAATATTACAGTAATTTATTATAAAATATAATAACTTCCTATAACATAAAATATTATATCCTAGAAATAAATAAAATATACCATAAAATTCATCACGTTAAAATTAAATATTATGTACATATACATTAAAAATTATAAACCTGAAATATTACAGTAATTTATTATAAAATATAAAAACTTCCTATAACATAAAATATTACATCCTAGAAATAAATAAAATATACCATAAAATTCATCACGTTAAAATTAAATATTATGTACATATACATTAAATATTTTAAACCTGAAATATTACAGTAATTTATTATAAAACATAAAAACGTCCTATAACACAAAATATCATATCCCAAAAAGTAGAACAAAAATAAAACTCTCCAAACCCAAAATACAGAATCACAAATGTCAAATAAACACTTGATGTCTGATATCATTACAAAGATACTGGGTCACGCGGTAAAAAGGTTGAAGAACGCTATGTAGCAGATAATATCGAAAGAAATTTGGAGATATCAGATAAAAGGATTAATTTTGTCGATAAGTTGATCAGAAAATCATTTTTAAATGTTATGATGTTTCTTGTCAACGCATAAATCAAACATCAAACACCTACTGAACTGGAAATACCAGATTATGCTAACACGTGTGAGGACCACACGAATTGAACGCACTTATCGTCGAGAAATGAACTGAATATGTGTAACATTTGCGACGCACAAGCTTCTATCAATCATATATTGATTGACTGTAGTATAGCCTGAGGAGAGCACAGTTTGACCTGGAAATCGATAAATATTGTTTTATGGGAGTATTGACGATGTCTTGTGGCATTTTTGAATTAGACAGAAGCTTAAATAATTTTGGCTAATATTTTTTACAGTAGGACTCGATAAAATTAATATCTTATGGCATTTATTAATTAGACTAAAGTCTGAATAATTTTTACTAATATTTTTTGCAGTAGGACTCGATAAAATTAATATCTTATGGCATTTTTTAATTAGACAAACTCTGAATAATTTTTACTAATATTTTTTGCAGTAGGACTCGGTAAAATTGTTATCTTATGGTATTTTTTAATTAGACAGAAGCTTAAATATTTTTGGCTAATATTTTTTATAGTATGTTTCAATAAAATTGTTATTTTATGGTATTTTTTAATTAGACCAAAGTTTGAACAATTTTTACTAATATTTTTTGCAGTATGTTTCAATAAAATTGTTATCTCATGGCATTTTTTAATTAGACAAAGTTTGAATAATTTTTACTAATATTTTTTGCATGACTCAATAAAATTATTATTAAACTATCATTATTCGACAAGTTTGATCTCAGAACAATTAAAAAGAAGTGAAAAATGCTAAATACACCTCTACGAAAAATTGTGCAAACTGTGAAATACGTTGCTTATTAGATTTTCAACCACTAAAACTTTTCTCATCTTTCACTTAGAAATATTTTAACGATGTTAGATGTCGAGTCGTTGCTTTAAAAGCATCCTAATGTAACGATTAAAACATTTTCACCAACATATAATTTTTGATATTTTTACATTTACAATTTGTAATATTCTTGCATATATAATTTGTACCAATTACAAATTTGTAATTTGTTTATTTTTACACATATGATTTGTAACATTTTTTCACTTGTAATATTTAACAGATCCTACAGCAATGTGTTATGAATGTTATAACGTGACATTAAGTTATTGTAATAAAGAAACAAAAGACGTCTCAATAATATAATTTACTGACCTCGTCATTGACACTAATAACCTTAGAAAGTGCATTTAACCTTGAATGATTAAAAAGAAAGAAGAAAACATTACGTATCGAAATTGAAAAAGAGCAGAACTTTCTGTTGGCATACCGATTGTGTAAGTATTCATTAGGTATTCAATGATAGTGCGATTACGTATCATGAACATGAGATCGAATCGATAACTAATTCCATTTACTGTTTGCATTCGGTTACAGGGTCTCACTAAATTACGTTAATGTTTCATTTACTAGTTAATATAATCCGTTGATACAATAATATAATAACCCTACACGTTAATATAATCCTCAATAATACAATAACATAATCCTCAATAATAATATTTAAAAATAATTTCACGAGAAAATTATCGAAGTGACTTTATTTGAAAAAGTTTTTTACAGACAAAATTTTACTTTTACTTTGTTCTATTAATTTAAATAGCACATTTTATATAATAAATTATTACTAAAATTTAAATAATGATTTATTATAATGAATTCCAGAATCTGCTATCGTAAAATAACTAAAGTTACACGTTCTACAATAAGAAATACAAGAGACTGCGCCCCTATCGTTAGGAATTAACGGTAGCATGATTTCATGCGTAGTAAGATTACCTAACGAATAACAATTTCATACTAAATACATTAACGAAAGGATTAGACAGCCATTTTCGACAAGCACTAAGCTCCAAACTGATATAATAGCAATGCTAATTTACGACGGTTTTATGTGATCACATTGTTCCACATTTTAGATACGTGGATTTAGATATTTGCTACAACTGATAATCAGCCATTTTGTATTTAAAATATTGTTCGAGATTAGAAATATTATTAAGACGTAGTCATTGTGGTTGAACTTTAAGCTTCAAGTTGATATAACTTTCATTCGAAGTTTCAAAATTACATATGTTCACATATGCAACATGTGAAACATTAATTATTTGTGCTTCCAATAGACATAGAATAATTAGGTACTTTTACATTATAAATATATATCAGAATTTCTTCTTTAAAATCGTCAAAGTTACTTTAAATTAAAGATGTCATCAAGTTCATATAGAGTTCATACATTGTAAAAGATTCCTAACTATACAGTCTATATTATCATTCTTTAAGCTCCACATGAGTCACAAGCGTTTCACATACAATAACCCAATAAAACATTTAACCTTCCTCCAAATAACATTTCTTTCAGCACACCGAACAAATCATAAGAATACTCAATTAAATAATGCTCCCAAATCAGAGCGTAGAAACACCAGTCGGAAATCCTATATAGCTCATCAAATTTATAGTCTCCGAGCTCGTCTCCTATTTCGAGGTCATTCTCCGTCGCGTTTCTCGCGGATCGTTGGTTAAATGGACGCGTCGACCTAGAGAATCGGTGTGATCAGGGGCAAGCCAGGTCGGTGGGTTAGTCTCGAACAGACTGTCAATGAGATGTCCAGCTGTGCCCATCCTGTGCAACTCGGTAACAATTATCGCGGCGATGAACAGGTCCCTCCTTGCCCGCGTTCCAGCACTTTTTTACCAGCCCCACCATTCGCAAAAACACAGTTTGCGGACCGGCGGTGCACACTTTGCAGCCGTTTAGTCGCCGTTTAACCGAGCTCGTTCCACACCGTACGTTTCCGCGCTGCTCACACATATGTGCGTGCGTGCCACTGACATTTCGAAGGAGCTTGAAGCAAGTTAGTTTCGACCTTCGTGAAATCGTCCTTCTGATACACTTCTCGAAATGGGAACACCTCTGGCTCTTTTTACTGTTCGCTCCTGAGGTTAGAGGTTGTGGTCTTAGAGGATCTGTTAGAACTCAAGGTCGAAGGTTTCTGTAAGGTCCAAGGTTCTTGCAAGGTCGAGTAACCTGCAAGGTCGAAGGTTTCTGCAAGGTCCAAGGTTCTTGCAAGGTCGAGTAACCTGCAAGGTCCAAGGTTTCTGCAAAGTCGAAGTAACCTGTGAGGTCCAAGGGTTAGCAAGATCGAAGTAACCTGCAAGGTCCAAGGTTCATGCAAGGCCGAGTAACCTGCAAGGTCCAAGGTTTCTGCAAAGTCGAAGTAACCTGTGAGGTCCAAGGTTTAGCAAGATCGAAGTAACTGAGGTCGAAGGGTTAGATCCAGCGGATCTAAGAGGTACAGAGAGTTAGGTAGTTAGCAGCAGATGAATAGTAACGAAGGAAGCGAGCCTTGAATTTCGCGCTAACGAGGTGAACAAAGCTCGGAGCGGAGGAGGCCGCAGGAAAAAGTGGATCAAGGTGTCAAAGACGTCAAGCGAGAGATATCAACGTAAGGTGTTAGCGAAGCGAGTCCCCCGGGAAAACAAAGAGTCACGCGACTCTGTTAACGATCGCCGGCTGGATATCAGCCGCGTGATCGTTAATCAACGATCGGGGATCATCGTGTTTGGACTTTCTCGGGACTCATCGTCACGCGACTCCACTACTGTCAACGATCGTCAAGCGGAGGGCGAGCTGTGATGGTGAACCGAGCCATCTTTATCGGCAGTCAATCGCGGAAAGTCGTCGCTCGCTTGTTCCGCTCCGCGAAGCTCCGTCGTACGCGCCTTTGAAGCTTGCTCGAGAGATCGGAAGTGCAATCGAGTACATGGATTCGCGTTGCTTCGACAGAGATCTTGGAAGCTGGAACTTGGACTCTTGGATCCCTAAGCTCGATATTTTCGCGTCGGTGCTTAGAAAAATCGCCAAGTAATAAACGAAGATTTGCATTTGACAAAGTGTTATCGATTAGTTTCGAATTTTTGTATGCGGTCTGAAAACTGAGTTTGCTGTGTTTTTACTGGACGAACGATATGGAGAGCGAGATGGTCGGCAAAACGAACAAATCGACCGAGGAATTGACCAAAAGACGCGTTTCTATCAGCGATCAGATTATGGGCATGGATAATCCCAGCTTCGATCATCATCGACGCATAAGCGCCAGCTCGGAGCACAATTCGGATCGCGGTAAATCGATAATGCAACACGGTGGTAGCACGGAGAATATACCGCAGCATAAGTTCGATTTGGAAAATGGAAGGATAAACGGGACACGAAAGAAGTCGACGTATAGCCTCACGAGTTCCATCAGGGACAAAATCCAGTATTCGGACGAATTGAAACGGTGAGACCGGGGTACATTTTTGCTCGTTAGTCCTTGCGAATGAAGGGTAATTACTGGTGCAAAGTGATGAGTTTAGATCGGTCTTTTTGCGATTTGATAGACGTGTAATTATCGGTGTTGATATTTTTTATTTTGAAATGTGGAAATGTGGAATTTTAGAGGAAGAAGGTTGATGCTGGGAAATTGTTTTGACGGGTGAAAAATTAATACTTTGAATTATGGACTTCTTTTGATGTTTGATGCTTTCAATGTTTGCTGCATGTAATTATTTTAAAATTTGAGTAAAATTTGTGGTACCGCAAGCTTTTTTTGCATGACAAAATTTGCAAAGTAGTTTGCCTGTAATTTTTCTTTTGTACTATTTTAATATTTTCAAGTTTCAATTACAACACTGTCAAATTTTCTGGAGCTTGAAATTTAGCTTTAGTTAAAATTCAATTTTTTATTTACCTTGTTTTTAAGTATATTAAACTTAAATTTAAATATATTCAACTAGAATTTAAGAGCAAGGTAACCATTACAGTTTCATCAATAAATGACAATAATTTAAAAATGTTTTAAATGATCATAATTTTAAAATGTTTCAAATGACAATAATTTCAAAATGTTTTACACGATAATAATTTTAAAAATGTTCAAAATGGCGATAATTTAAAAATGTTTAAAATGATCATAATTTTAAAACGTTTCAAATGACAATAATTTCAAAATGTTTTACATGATAATAATTTTAAAAATGTTCAAAATGACGATAATTTAAAAATGTTCAAAATGAGGATAATTTAAAAATGTTCAAAATGAGGATAATTTAAAAATGTTTAAAATGACAAGAATTTCAAAATGTTTTACATGATAATAATTTGAAAAATGTTCAAAATGACGATAATTTAAAAATGTTCAAAATGACGATAATTTAAAAATGTTTTAAATATCCACAAGTTACAAACGTTTTAAATAACAATAATTTGGAACAGTTAAAAATATTAATAATAGACAAATCTTTTAAATAAAAGTGACACATGAATTTGTATTAAAGACATAATTTTAGTGGGAGATAAAAGTATTGAAGCTTGTAGATAACATATAGAAGTGCTTATTAAGTCACATTGTGACAGAAGGCGTACTATAAAAATAGTTCCTCAGATATCGAGATTTAACTACGTTTTTTACTAGATACTAAATCGTTTATCATTCAAGTACACTATAATCTGATGTTTATTGGTAAAATAAACAATATCGTTGAGAAAGTGTGTCACTCTTTTCTTTGAAAATAATGGTTTGCCGACAGAGAATAATTTGAATGTAATTTTTAAAATAATGTAATTGTGTTCATACCTTTATTAAAATTATTTAGTTCTATATTAACTTTTAAAAATAATTTTGAAATTTAATATGAATTTAATACGAATTTAATAAAAATGAATGAATGGCTTTGAAATTTAGTAAAACAATTTTTACCATAAATTTAACAATACGTAAATTGCAATAATTTTTATATTTAATTTAGCGATCAAATTTAATAATAAACGAATTAATAAAAATATGAAATGTGAAAATAAAAGAGGGTTGAATGTACAATTTACAAAAAACTAAAGAAAGAGTGTAAAATTATAAAGTAATATGATCAGCAATTCATAATACATATATTTCTGACACTATAGAGCTTTTTGAATAATTTTCATACGTTAAATTATCCTCGTTTTTAATTTTCAACGTTCCAGCCACCCTTTGAACTCCTCTTCAAGTTTTTATTATAAAAATACACATCGGTGCATGATAAAGTCAAAGGGTTCTAAAATAAAAGGTATAAATTGCGGATTAAAAGCTAACGGTAATCTCAAACATAAATTTCAACGTCAGCAAAAAGAATTTCAATATTCGACCAAAAATGAGATTGCATTTTACCTGGCAAATAATCCAACGATCATTTTTAATCAGTTACATGTATTTTATATTAAAACCTTTCATACCTTGTATGTTTTACAGTTCAATTTTTACTTAAAAATTAATTTTTGTTTAAAATTTAGTTATGGGAGTTTGAGACTGAATTAATTTTTAGTTAAGGAAACTTTGGAAAATATAAAAGTTTAGGAATTTTGGGGGTTTAGATAGACAGAGTTTGAGGGTTCGAAATATTAAAATTTCAGAAATTTTGAGAGATCAGAATATTATTTGGACTTTTTCAGATTTTGGAACTTGAAAATTTTAGTCAGTTAAAATTTTGGAACTTTCAAAGTTTAAAAACTTTTAGAGTTTCAATGCTTGAAAATTTGAAGTGTTAGAATTTCAGTAACTTGAGAATTCACAAGCTTGGAAATTTAAAGTGTTAGAGTTTCAGTAATTTGAGAATTCTCAAGCTTGGAAATTTGAAGTGTTCGAATTTCAGTAATTTGAGAATTCACAAGCTTGAAAATTTGAAGTGTTAGAATTTCAGTAATTTGAGAATTCACAAGCTTGAAAATTTGAAGTGTTAGAGTTTCAGTAACTTGAGAATTCACAAGCTTGGAAATTTGACGTGGTAGAAATTCAGTAATTTGAGAATTCACAAGCTTGAAAATTTGACGTGGTAGAGTTTCAGTAATTTGAGAACTCACAAGCTTGGAAATTTGAAGTGTTCGAATTTCAGTAATTTGAGAATTCACAAGCTTGAAAATTTGAAGTGTCAAAATTTCAGTAACTTGAGAATTCGAGATTTTAAAATTCTTAAACCATAAAAAATTCGAATTCTTTAATATTTGAAACTTTGGAGCTTTGATCACTAGATTTCACAAAAATTCAAAAAATCCTCTTTCCATTATTTTCCATATTTCTCTTCAAACATATAAACAATGAATTTTGATCACAGCACACTAATGTTCCCTTAACAGGTCTAGGTCACAATGAACAATACCCTAATCAGGTAGTCACCTTCTAAATCTGCATTGCAGAGTAACCATTCAAATATCCACTTCTCCAATTAATCTCCATTAATATCAATACAAATCCTCTATCTACAAAATTCGCACTCCATAACTCGCACACTAAGCAGCTTAAAACCGCAACCCCAAAAATATTTTTTATAAAAAATCTACTCACTATTTTAACTTGCAAAAAATCATATAAATAATCCTTGAAAGTTTGGAAATATTTCATAGCCGATTTTTTTTTCTTTTGCTCGAGGATATTGATAGAAATTTTAGAGGGGTGCGAAGAATTCGGGGTTGAAGCTGATAAATTTAAACGATGAATGTGATCAAAATTCAGAAACGTGAAAAAATGACAAAAATGATTGGAAAATAATTCGAAAAAGAATCGAAAATTTTTGTCAATTTTAATATGGAAATCTAAAATAACTTGAGTTTGAAGAACAATATAATAATATATAAAGTACTGAAGTTTCAAGAAAAATATTTATCCAAGTCTTCATAACATAAAGCATCTAAAATTAGATCTAAATAGGGTCATACCCCGTACCAGTTAAATATCAGTAAAACAAAATGTCACACGGTCCGATTAATCCACTTATCGTATGTACATATTGTTACAACATATCGTTTCTGCAGCGCACACCGACGCGTTCCATCACCGCAGAAATGTACCAGAAATACTTGTTAAGACACAAATTACAAATGACAACACGTACGCAACGAATCCCGCAATATAGCCGTTTCCAATTATCCAAGCAAATATAAACTGTTCCGTTCTGGAAACGACATCCGCGTGCAATCGATTCCGAAGCAATGAATGAAAACTATTCGAAGCAGGCGATTCTAATCAAGCCGATTGTAACGGATCTAGGAAGCTTCGTACGTATCGTGATGTAACAGTCGCAGTTACAAAGCCTGTCATTTCTAATCGCCTTGATAAGATCATAAAGTCTAATGAGATTGAATCAAGCGCAGCGCCGGGTTTCCTACGGATCATCCGTTCAGAAATCCACACCTCACGGTATTCTACGTCAAACTATACGTATGTGATTTATTTTTTATGTGGAACAGGTTTTTTACGAGATATTTCTATTTTATACATTTTTATATTCACTGATAATTGCTGGTGTAGCATTAAATCAAACTGTTCAAAGATGATTTTGCCTGTTCTACTGTGTTCATACATGTATAATTTCAGTGTGATACATGTATGATATGTGTAATATCATTTTTAAGCTAACATGACATTATGCATTATACATGTGTGACATGTATACATGTATGTATACATTATACATGTCACATGTGTGTATGTGTATATGTATATATATGTCATACATGTCATACATGTATGTGTATTTGTATATGTGCATATGTATATGCATGTCATACATGTATAATGTACAATGTCAGAGTACATATAAATATTTTTAAACAAAATCTATGACATACATCATACATGTCATACATGTATGTATGTGCATATGTATGTACATATATGTCATACATGTAGAATGTATAATGCCATAGTACACATATAAATGTCATAGTCATAGTACATATAAATAGTTTTAAACTAAATCTGTGACATTATACATCATACATGTCACACGTGTATGTATGTGCATATGTATATACATATATGTCATATATGTATAATGTACAATATAATCGTACACATATAAATATCATAGTCATAGTACATATAAATATTTTTAAACTAAATCTATGACATTATACATCATACATGTCATACATGTATGTATGTGCATATGTATATGTGTATATGTATATACATATATGTCATACATGTATAATGTATAATGCCATAGTACACATATAAATGTCATAGTCATAGTACATATAAATAGTTTTAAACTAAATCTGTGACATTATACATCATACATGTCACACGTGTATGTATGTGCATATGTATATACATATATGTCATATATGTATAATGTACAATATAATCGTACACATATAAATATCATAGTCATAGTACATATAAATATTTTTAAACTAAATCTATGACATTATACATCATACATGTCATACATGTATGTATGTGCATATGTATATACATACATGTCACACATGTATAATGTATAACGTCATAAATTTGGTATAAAAATATTTATTCAAACTTGTCGTATTGAACTGAATGATGAACATGAGTCACCTAAATATTGTGTCAATAATGCAATCCTTTGAACCCCAAATAGCGTATTAAAAATTCGAGTAAAATAGTCAAGTTAAAGTATTAAGTCTGAAAAGTTAAAGAATTAAATTTGAAGAGTTAAATCTGAAAAGTTAAAGAATTAAATGTGAATGTGTTTCAGGTCGTGGTTGTATCTGTTCTGTGCACGATGCCACGGACGCGACGACACACCATCCTGGGAGCCACCCGGCTGGAGAAAAGCCTGTCCCCATCCATTTTGTCCGAGCTACAGAAAATTCGCTCGAGTCTTGTGTCTGTTCTTGTTGGGCCTACTGCTCTGGGGCATTGTCTACACGATAATGGGCGAGACTGCTGCTCCTGGTGGACAACTCTTTGGCCTTGCTGTTCTTTGTTTAGCGGCACACTTTGCCGGGTGGTTGTTCTCGTTAACCACCCTTCCTGCGCTGATCGGCATGCTGATTACCGGGATTGTATTTCAAAACGTCGGTTTGGTGCATGTTGAGGGTGGTTATAATATCGTCGTCTCCAATCTAAGGTAAGTTCACTTACATTGTCCTCTTGAGGGAATTTTGTTACAGTGAATATGAAGATTTTTATTTGTTAGGGTATGTGGATTTTTATCTGTTGGGTTAAATATGAGGATTTTTAACATTCGTTAACATATTGAGAAATGTGGATAAATTGATTATAGCAAAATATTCAACCATGAATTGAATTCAATAGTTTATTAAACTACACTTAAAATTTCTGCAATTATCCTTGAAATGAACTGTATCAATATTTCTTTGTTGTAATGAATTTTAATTGCCCATCTACGTTACAGATAAGAGTTAAGTGGATTACTGTGTTCATAAGTCTAATCATTGGTTGTTGATTTTAAATTATCCCACTGGCAAAAACAATTTATTTAAACCGTCCTATAGTATTTAGAAGTTCTTATACTCTGTCTAATATGGTGATATACATAGAATTTGATTATCGATGATTGATTCTGAACGAAGTTATTGATTGATGAGGTACAATTAATTGAAACATTTTAAACTGCTTTTTTCAAATCAACTGTCTTCAAAGAATGTTTCGTATTCATTGAATATTGCATATTTATATTTAATAAATATTGCATATTTATATTCAATAAATATTGCATACTTATATTCAATAAATATTGCATACTTAATTATTTTATGAAATAAAATATCCTCCGAAATTTACATTCGCGAAAGAAAATAAAAAAAATGAATCAAGTACAATTGCTTAAAATCGTTAAATTTGTTATTGGTAGGTGATTGGGTTTCAAAAAGAGTTTTCCAAGTTAAATTATTCAAAATACTAGAAATCCCCGCGAAGTCAGGTGGTTTTCGGGGATACTACACGCATGACAAAGTGCGCAACTATTTTTGAGTTGAACGATCCGAATAGAGTGTGGTTTGGTGACAGAACACCTATTCGTTTACAATATTTGTAGCGTGTTCTGACAATGGGTACTCTATGGCCAGTAACATTTACAATATTTCAAGTCTATGCGTTTGATTCATATTTATGAATACGGTTGTTCATCTGCGTCAGAACTGATGCAGGGTGTTTCAAAAAGATTGTGCATCCTCTAATAATTATGGATATTTTGGATAATTATGAAATGGTTGTTGAGAAGAAACTTTGTACTTGAAGATAGTTTTGCTGTCTGAACTTGAAAATTTTCTGATTGGAAAGCTTTGTATGAAGTTTTTCTGTTATTAACTGTGTCTGTCTGCTCTACTATGTCTGCCACATGTAAAACATTACTATACTTCAGTTAAATACTTCACTCTTTATATTTAGTTAAGTACTTCAAGTATAAAGTTCTAGTTATTTTAACAGTCAACTATGTATTAATGCAATGTGAATAAATATTAAAATTTGTTCATACTTTATATTTAGTGATACTTAACCATGAAGAGTGTGAATTAAGCTTAAAATTTAATTGTACATTATAGAACTACTGTCACAATGTCAATACAAAATTTAAAATTTATCTTAAATTTATCTTAAAATTTGGGTAATTGTGTATAAAGAATTTATCTTAAAATTTGGGTAATCTCAAAATTTATCTTAAAATTTGGGTAATTGTGTATAAAGAAATTGGAAAAATTGCAATAATTATATACTGCAATGCATCATTGAATTTATGAAGATGAGACATTTTTATTCCCAACAAAAAAATTTCCAATTTACAAAATTTACAAAAATTAATTGCACAATAGTTTCAAATGATAAAATTTGATAATCACCTGCTTCAAGTCTTCAGCTCCTTCAGCTTTGTCAATTAGGATTTACAATTAGAACTATCTTACACCTTCAGAGTACAACATATTTCAAGTAATTACAAAGAAAAAGAAACACTGATTATTTAAACAAGTGTTAGTCAATTTAAACTTGAAAACAACTAAAACAGCAACTGAATGCTGTTTTGTTTATTCGTAAATATTGTTTCAAAAACAATTATCGTAATTTTCTTTGACAACCGAAATTAAGCTGTTTTGTAACAATTTTCAGCTCGAACTGTAGCTTGTTTGCAGAACAAAGTCTGGGTTCAGAATACTAGAGATCTTTCGTGTTTCTCTGTTATTCTTTGCATTTTCGCTGCTTTCTGACAGCTTCTTAAAAAACTTCTACAGTTTACCAATTTTATAAATATTAACTGAAATAATGAGTCAAAATTTACTGCAAATTTAATCTTTTCAAACTTGATCTTTTCCACAAGTTTTCCACAAATCAAAAACTAGTACTAGTTGGTTAATGACCCGTATAAAAAAAAAGTATTTTTAACGCCGTATGACATAACCATTCTAAAAATTTAAAAATAGTATTCACAGACGTATTTTGCATAATCAAATAATTATTAATGCAAGAGAGAAGATAAATATTAAACAGCGTATGGTAGCAACGCACAATATTAACATTTTCTAAAAAAAATTAACACATTGGTCATCAAACGTCATGTACTTATTTGTCACATCTGAGTAGTGTGTTTTTCGTTGTGCTTCTAAAAATATTTGGGCAATTACAAAAAATTATGTAAATTTGATATTTGATGTGTGGAGAACGTCTTTCGAGTTGAGTGACAGCAAACGAAGTGGATTTGGAAATTAATTTAGCGTACGTTTGAGGATTTGGGAATTTTAAGTGGAGGATTTAAAAAGGTTGCAATTTAGGTAATTTGAAAATTGGGATATTTGGGAAATTTGGGAATTTGGGAATTGGGGGATGTGGGAATTGGGGGATGTGGGAATTGGGGGATGTGGGAATTGGGGGATGTGGGAATTGGGGGATGTGGGAATTGGGGGATGTGGGAATTGGGGGATGTGGGAATTGGGGGATGTGGGAATTGGGGGATGTGGGAATTGGGGGATGTGGGAATTGGGGGATGTGGGAATTGGGGGATGTGGGAATTGGGGGATGTGGGAATTGGGGGATGTGGGAATTGGGGGATGTGGGAATTGGGGGATGTGGGAATTGGGGGATGTGGGAATTGGGGGATGTGGGAATTGGGGGATGTGGGAATTGGGGGATGTGGGAATTGGGGGATGTGGGAATTGGGGGATGTGGGAATTGGGGGATGTGGGAATTGGGGAATGTGGGAATTGGGGAATGCGAGAATTGGGGAATGTGGGAATTGGGGAGTGTAGGAATTGGGGAATGTGAGAATTGGGGAATGTGGGAATTGGGGAATGTGGGAATTGGGGAATGTGGGAATTGGGGAATGTGGGAATTGGGGAATGTGGGAATTGGGGAATGTGGGAATTGGGGAATGTGGGAATTGGGGAATGTGGGAATTGGGGAATGTGGGAATTGGGGAATGTGGGAATTGGGGAATGTGGGAATTGGGGAATGTGGGAATTGGGGAATGTGGGAATAAATTGAGGAATGTGGGAATCGAGAAATGTGGGAATTGGGGAATATGGGAATTGTGGAATGTGGGAATTTGGAAATTTGAGAATTTGGGAATTCAGAAATTCAGTAAATTTGGGACTTTAGTGAGCGATATTGCACAAAAATTATTTACAAAATTCTTGCAATTTATTTTCCCAAAAAAAATGATTCTAAAAGAAAACAAAATTTTACACAAGAAAATTTTCTTGGAGAGATGAAACATTTTTCGAGCAAAGAAGTTTGAACAACTTTTAAAAATGAATTTTCTATCAAATTGAAAATAACGTGGAATTATGAGCGGATCGTACGACATACACTTCCGATGAGTGGATTAATAATCGTTTCCGGTGAAACTTGTCCGTCGACGAGAAGTAAATAGTATCACATGACGCGAAGGAATAAATTTCAATTACGAAATGATGAAGTTCCATTTACAAATTCAGACGAAGAAGCAATGTGTGCGTAACAGCACATGATTTTAATCACGTGCCCATTTAAGACTAACAGTAGTCACGCGCAACACCGTAATAATTAACCCCTTAGCTCACGCAGGTCAACGATGTCGTTCAACCAACTATAAACATTCCGCCTGGATGTCTCACACTTGGAAATTGGACATTTTTATGATACGCATAAATCCTTTTATTATCCGTGACAGGATGTCTACATTTTCCGTGGTTAACATAGACGTTGCGGGGAAAATGGATATCTATTATAATAAAATTTTGAATAAGAGTACGTGTGATTCATTTTTCAATTTTATTGTTATGGTAGGTGCTTTTGAAAATTATTCAGAGTGCACGATTCTCAAATTTTTGAAACAAATTTTTGAATTGTTAAATTTTCATGATTTCAAATTTGCTAATTTTTTTATTTGAAAATTTTCAAATTCCAATTTTCCAAATTTCCGAATTGCCAAATTCTCAAATTCCCGAATTCCCAAATTCCTAAATTCCTAAATTCCTAAATTTCCAAACTCCCCAAATTCCCAAATTTCCAAATTCCCCAAATTCCCAAATTTCCAAATTTCCAAAATCCCAAATTCCCCAAATTCCACTCACCCCAAATCCCAAATCTCCCAAATACCAAATTCTCCAAATTCCAAATTTCCCAAATCCCCACTCTTCCAAATCCCAAATCTCCCAAATCCCAAGCTTCCCAAATCCCAAACTTCCCAAATCCCCACTTTTCCAAATCCCAAATTCTCCAAATTCCACTCACCCCAAATCTCAAATCTCTCAAATTCCCACTCTTCCAAATTCCAAATCTCCCAAATCCCCACACTTCCAAATCCCCACTCTCCCAAATCCCCACTCTCCCAAATCCCCACTCTCCCAAATCCCCAGTCCCATATCCCCACTCTCCCAAATCCCCACTCTCCCAAATCCCCACTCTCCCAAATCCCACACTTCCCAAATCCCAAATCTCCCAAATCCCCACTCTCCCGAATCCCCACTCTCCCAAATCTCCACTCTCCCAAATCCCCACTCTCCCAAATCCCCACTCTCCCAAATCCCCACTCTCCCAAATCCCCACTCTCCCAAATCCCCACTCTCCCAAATCCCCACTCTCCCAAATCCCCACTCTCCCAAATCCCCACTCTCCCAAATCCCCACTCTCCCAAAT